CTGCGTGTTATACGCCGGTGCGTGCTATACGCCGATAAATACGGTATATTGTTATTGTTGCTGTTGCTCTTATTACCTATTACAGCAGGAACAATGCTAGCAATAGGACTATGAACAATTTCAAAGGAATTGTGTGTGGTGTATATAAGGTTGGGCACATCTGTTAGTGAATGGCAGTTGCAAGTCAAAAAATTGAAATGTTGACTAACTGGACGGCTAAGTCCATGGAAACAACAGAGGATACCGTCTTGTTACAGAGGATAACATGTTGGCTTTTTACTTTTCTTCTTAGGTGTGCTCACTTTCTGGTTCTGAAGAGCAAGCTGGAACTTCAGCGCAACAATCTGGATCTGTGTGGCTCAGATCTTGAGCAGGTCCTCTTTCTTCTTGAATCGGGCACAGGTGATAAATTTAAGCAGGGTTGAATTTATTTTATATTTTATTTTATTTTATTTACTTAAGACATTTAGCTGCTCATTTTCTAACCAACTCCGGGGAGCTCCCCATCAAAAGTGAAAACATATAAAATCATGTTAATCATATTAAAACTATTAAACTAAGCTCATTAAAGCATTAAAAACAACAAAAATCATGGAAGCGCTGAGGGCTTTTTGTTGCAAAGAGTATGTTGGTTTGAATGCGTGGATCAACCACTCTAATAAAGAAACCAAGTTTTACATGGAGCAACTGAGGTTCCAGGTTTGATAGATTGTATTTCATTTCAGGCGGCAATTTATTTAAGCTGTTTTTCAGGAATAATGTGAAGGCTTAGAAACAAAGAGCCAGTGCTGGTGGGGGAAGGACATGTTGCCCTCCTGATGAGTGGTGCCATCTCCCACCAGCTTCTTTTGTGCAAAACAAGCCAGAATTGGCAGGACAGGATTCATTGTCAAATTATGAAACAATAAATTGAGAGCCTGTTCTTAAGATTTGTGTTCAAATTCCAGTAATCTTCACAACAGAGGTAAATAACAGGAAGCAAGACATCAGAGGATGCTGTCCTGGGGACTTTCAACATAATGCCCCTGACAAAACCAAGCTTTTTCATCATTGGTTTCTTTAGAACTTAAACTTAGTTTCTTGGTGAAATGATTTGTTTTTTATGACTAGCCAAAGAAGTTGAATGTGGTTGAGTTTTTTCCCTCACGTCCTTCTTTCTTTCAAGACTAAGTTGGTGTTTATGTACGTAACTGTTTTTTTGTACTCCTCTACATCTGGACCTCAAAGAATTGGGCTGGGTATTACTGGCAGTAGTTCTTGACAGAAACTTTGACAATGAGTTCTACTTAGAGTCGGTTTATGAAAAGGTCTTCCTTAGAATAGGAGAATCTTTTCAAACCTGTCAGAATTAGTGGGAGGAAATACATTAGAACAGTAGTAAACTTGAGGATAAAGGTTCGTTCTCAGAGCTTGTGGGTTGGTTTCTGAACATTTCATTACCAGACTAGGTAACATCTTCAGTGGAGTTTAAGGGATATCAGTGTCCCGAAACCCCACCCACTTCATTATAATGGCCGTGCATAGCCTTTAGGAGCCTTTCAGAGTGCTCCTGGGGGCTGGGGAGAGCAGAAATGAGCGAAAAATAGGCTGTTTCCCCCCCCCCCCCAGCCCCAAGGAGAAATCTATAAGCCAAAAAAATACATGCCCATTTTTTGAACAAAAAATGGAGCCGTTTTCACGAAAAACGGGCTGTTTTGGGGAGGTCTGCAGAGTGCAGATACTTTTTTTTTTTAATTTGCCTCTTCAAAACTTGGTGTGTCTTATACTCAGAAAAATATGGTACTCAATGAATCTTTCTCTTTTGTTCCTAGTGTTTGAAACCAAAGGAGAAAAGGGGGAGGTGCGAATCAAGCCCAAGAAAGGAGGCCCTAAGGGCAAGAAGCCTGAAAGCCTACACTTGAAGTCTACTGAGGAAGACCAGTCTTTCCTGAAAGAAGCCTGCCTTGAATTCATTGATACCGTCCCTGTGCAGAAGACTCTAACTACTTCACCCGTACTGAGGCCAAAGCTGAAGAAACAGCTCAGCTTCTTGAACCACCCGGATAAGTGCTGCTGTTTGCTATGTTCTGATGTGATCCTCTCCACCATCTGTCTCCGTTGGCTGATCATCTCTGTGGATGGAGAGCTGACATTTGGGAACGGAGGGGAAGGATTGCATCTCCTTCAGGCCATTCTGCAACGGTGCACCACTGTGGCTCAGCGCATCGCCCAGGTGGTAGCATTTGTATGTCCGCAGGAAGGGAAGAAAGTTGTTGCTCCATGTCAGTCCACCATTGGGCTTCTTGATGGCCTAATGGCCCACATCTATGTCCTTTTGACAAAGCAAAGCATGAACAGCAGTAGACCAGGAAAGAAATTCTGGCAGTTTCTGGAGAAGGGTTTGACCTTCCTTTCCTCCAAGGGGCCTCAACTGCTTGAACTTGAATACTGCAGGACCCAGCTCCTACTTGCCAGAGCTGTGGCTGCAATTTCTGTTCTCAACTCCAGACAAGGCAGTTATGCAGAAAATATACTGTCCAATACTTGGTCCTGGAAGTCCCCATTGCCTCTTACTGGAGACCAAGAAATCAAGCTGGGAACAACAACAGAAGAGACTTTCAATACAGTTTATGCAATGTCTCTGAAAAGCAGAACAAAGAAGCAGCCAGTACCTGTCTCAAAATCGAAGTCTAAAAGACTCCGAGGGGCCAAAACTCGGCCTGTGATCAAGCTAAATGACCCCTTTGCCCTGGCTGACTCTGATTCAGACACTCCTTCCATTGTTCTTAAGCCCCCTACCGAATCCTTCGGTACCCCCGCCCAAAAATCCCTTCCAGTCTCCAAGAAAAACCTGTCCTTAAGTGCCAGGTCCATCATTGCCCACAAGGCTCCATTTGTGGTGTTTGAGGAATCCTCTCCAAAACTGAAGGCTGAACTTCCAAAGGCTCCCAAAGTAACCAGGAGAATGAAATCCCGAATTAAGGTACCTTAATTAACAAGGGGTGGGGTAACCATGTAATGAAAGGATGTTTGATGTCATAAAACACAGAATATTTTGTTTAGCTGGTGTGTGCATGTGCGTCTGTGGGGAGCTAAGGTACTGCAGCTGCAGTTCAGCAGTTCAAATCACATTAGTTCAAGGTTGATTCAGCCTTCCATCCTTCTGAGGTTGGTAAAATGAGGACCCAGATTGTTGGGGGCAATAGCTGACTGTAAACCATTTAGAGAGGGCTGTAAATCACTGTGAAGCAGTATATAAGTCTAATTGCTATTGATATATGTTGCCTGCTATTTTTTTAATGTACTGACCATGTAATACTTTGTCTTCCCATGTCTCTTTTTGGTGGTTATTATTATTAGATTTTTATGCCAACATTTTAATGTATATTTTGGTCAACTCAAGGTACTTAATGTACCTCATATTCCTGCCTCCTATTTCCCCACAACAGCAGTCCAAAGAAATAGGTTGGGCTGACAGGAAGAGTCTTTCTGCTGCCTTTCATGCCTAAGTGAGGCCAAGAACCCAAAATCTCCTGGTTTCTAGGCCAGCACCTTAACCATTATACCAAACCTGTGCTGTATTCCAACGCATCCACCACCACCATCCCCCCAAAAACCAGGTCCCCTTCCCCTGATTAGGGAACATGATTATTAGTATGTGGTTGATATACAGCCTTTTGTTTATCTATTTATCTATCTATCTATCTATCTATCTATCTATCTATCTATCTATCTATCTATCTGCATTCTTTACTTCTACATGTTAAGAGTTGTAATTGGTTGCTTCGACCATTTGATACAATATATAGGTTTTTTTATAGTATATAAAAAAGTGCTGTTTTATGTCTAAGTATATTTACCCATGTTGTATGGCTATAGTATTTTTATTATCCTTCCCATGTTCTTTAATACCCCATCCTATTGGTAACATTATCATGATGATGATGATGATTCTGTTGCTTTGCATGTACATTGAGTGAGTAAGAAAAATCTTTATTACGGTCAAAGACCAGCAATACACATTAGTTTTTACACTATATTAAAAAATACTAACATTAAAATATAATTAAAATGTATTGACATTAAAAGTGGATAATAACATAATGGTCCAAAGATTGTTAGAGGTATGTCCAGATAATTGGTACAGCATGTACATTGAGAGCTTTTACACTGGAGAGAAATTCTTTGTCTGTTGAATCGCATCTGGCCAAACAAAGCCTATTCCTACTCTACTCTACTCGCATTGAAAAACATACAACTCTTTTTGTTTCTAAAATTTTAAAACCCAGGCGCTTCTTGCTTAACAATCCTAATTGGGACCAGAACATCCATCACTAAGCGATGATGTCATTAGGCAAAACATCACATGACTGCATTGCTTAATGATGGCGGTTTTGACAGTCATTAAGTGAGGACTTCATGCTTCTCCTGCCTTGCAGCACTCACTTTCACTGCAAACCCACCCACCCACCCACCTAACTCCCTCCATCTCTGACCCTTTTGGCCATCCTATAGTCTACCATCCCTGCTGCTCCCTTTGCCTTCTTTTCCAAGAAAATAAGGAGAAATCCCATCCTTTTCACTCCCAGATTCTCTTCAGTGATGACAGTGATGCAGAAGGCCATCCAGAAGTAGGACCAGAATCCCAGCTCCATGTTGAGACTGAACCAACTGCTGCTACTCGCAGGACGGGACGGAGGGTAGCATCGAACAGAAAACCAGCGAAGGCAAGCTTTGCTAAAACGGAGAGGTGCAGTGCTGGCTCTTCACAGGAACATTCCAAAATGGTAAACCCCCAGGTTGGGAGGCCGAGACGAGGCCCTAGACGAGGAAAGCAAGAAGACATCCAGAAAGGTTCCAGGGAGAGAATTCTTCAGGAAGATCAAGGAGGAGGAGAAGAGAAGGACATTCTAAAGGCAAACAAGGAGAGTTCAGAAGACAACATTGAAGTCTTGCGAGGTTCTGATGAGGAGAAAGCTATTAACGGTAGGCTTTATATTATGAAAATGGAAAGCAAAAATCAAGGGGTGAGCAGCCTGTAGATTCATATTAATATCAGCAAAAATGCAAAACACTGACACAGAAATGGAAAATTGGAAATGGAACTGGGATTACATATATATATGTATGTATTTATGTATGTATGCGTGTGTGTGTATTTATGTGTGTGTGTTCCAGCGTAATTCTGAAACGCCTTGAGCAATTTCAACCAAACTTCGTACACAGATGACTTACTCTCTGGAAACAAATACTGTGGGGGTAAGACACCCCTAACACCTTTCGGGGTGTGTGTCTTTGTCTATGTGTTCCAGCATAACTCTGGAATGCCTGGGTTGCTAAAATGAAAAGGAATGAATTATATCTATAGTGCCACAATACTCTTGACCGGTGATAGTGTGCATTTTGGATTCAAGTTCATGTGTGTGGTGTTCCAGCATTACTTTGACTGGACACTAGATATAATTCATTCCTTTTCCTGTCTAATACAGGATTAGCATAAATAAATACCAGGGCAACACCAGGTTATCAGCTAGTAGGGATATAAATAAGTTCAATCTGAACTTGAACTGGAGGATACATGGTTTCTGTCAATCTCGTCTTCTCCCCGTCTGCTTCCTTCCTTCCCTTCTTATGCTTTATGCTTTGAAGGGTAGCACCCATGGGGCTCCAGTGGGTGTGGAGATCTGTCAAGCATAAATTTTTAAGGGATTTGGAAAAATGTAAAGGCAACAAGAAAGGAAAGAAATCAACAGAAAAAAAATCTGTTTTAACTTATATCTAAAATTTACCACTGGAAGTAGTATTAATTTCTGATCCCAACTTCCTGCTTACTTCAAATTCTTCTTTGCCTGCCTGGCCCAACAGTTGTGGTAGCCAAGTGAAAAAGGAAATGTCCAGGCCTTGTTTCTCTAAAACCTTGCATTTCTATTTGGGATTTTTTAAAATTGTTTTTTACGAAACTCAGCATGATCATTTCCATCCACTGAGATCCCATCATCTATCATGTAGCTGAATATTTCAATTCACCTGACAGAAGCCTCCTTACTTTCAAGTATATTACTGTGGACTTGCAGCAACAGGCCCACGCAGATGATACACTGTAAATCCATAAATCAATCTTTTCTAAATGTTTGCTGTCCAGATTAACGTATCTTCAACAACCCTGACTTAACACCAGAAAGCATCAAATGTTGAGTTTCCAGCCTTTGTTGGAATTACAACGAAGGCACGGATTATGATCATAGCCTCAAAGGCAATATTTGACATCTGATTTGGGCAAGATCAAAACATTTTGGTGTTCTGTTTCTTTATCCTCTGTAGAAACTCGACAACAACCAAGCACAGAAGATCAGGAGATCCTCCGGAAAGATTTTAGCACTGTCTTACAGGGAGGGTTTTCAGCCACAGAGAAGAAGGCTTTGGAAGATCCCTTCAACTTGCATGTACTTGCCTCCTCACTAGATGCACCTGCAGGTAAAGAGCCATTAAAATCTGTTTTCTGTCAAATCTTCTTTTAAAAATTATAATATTGTTGGAAAGATTTACCTAAACTATGGCTTACACAATATACTGCGTGAAAACCCTTTCATCTTTTTTTTAACAGAGAAGTTTGAATTCTGATATTTTTGTAGATCATTTATTTTTAAATTTCTATCCTAGTTTTCACTGCTAGGGTTGACCAAATTCAATCTATTGCCTATGTTTATTTCTAGACTAGTGTCCTTCAATGTAGCTTCTGATGATTCCAGAAATCATTGGTTGTACCGGCTATGGCTGATGAGATGAGAAACCTAAGCATCATTGGAAGGCACTGGGCTGTGTATATATGGGTGTGCGTGTGTGTGTGTGTTCCAACATAATTCTGGAACGCCTCGAGCAATTTCAACCAAACCTGGTACACAAATGACTTACTTTCTAGAGAAAAATAGTGTGGGGGTAAGACACCCCTAACACCCTTCAAGGTGTGTGTTCTGTTAAGATACAGCCTGTTGTGCCATACTGCCATACTGGCTTCTACTGCACAGCGCAGTGGAGTTGCCATGGTAATGGCTTCACAGTAGTCCACAAGGGGCCTCCCTCTGGTAAGGGGGAAAATCCAACATTAGAAATTATGTTTGGTCAGGACATTTCCCCCCTATAAATAAATACCCGGGCAATACCAGCTTATCGGTTAGTATTTAATAATTTGCTTGGTTAGTAAAGGGCATTAAGAACGTCCTAATGGCTCAACATGGTTAGGGAAGTTTCCATGATAGCCATAGACAAACTAGCTAAGGAGAGATGACTCAGTCAACATGGGCTTCATGCTAGCAGGAGAAAATATAAAATTTGCAACCCCATGACAAACACAGGAATTGAATTGGCTACTTGAGCAAAAGTATTTTAAATTACTGAAATGCTAGTTGTCTGGATGCAGATGTATGTTACCTCTTTGTAAATGTTTAAAATGGGGAATGAAATTCATATCTATTCTGGCTTGAGCTACGAGAAGGATGTGGAGTGCAGATATAAAAATGAAGCTTTATGAAATAAGAACTTATTTATGAATGTATTCTGACCATACTGACATGGAGTTATGACAGTTCAGTTTCAACACATTTGGAGGTGAGGGAACCATGACTAGAGAAATTGGGTAAATAGATCTATATTGTAAATTTCAAAGGAGAACTAATTGCTTGAGTATGAAATAGACTGACTAAATAATCTGAACATAATCGCATTCAGGTTTTCACTGACTGTCGTGTTTTGTTTTTCTTCCCTAATTTGCAATGTTACAGACATTTTGTCCATGGACTCGGTCTATGACTCCCTGCAAGCTGCTTTTCAGTCGATTGCCCATTATCCACTGGGTGCCCTCTACAACCAGCTCTGTCAACTCATGGCGCTGTGTATTGGGAACCGGGACCCCATTGCCACCGCCTATCTGGTTTCTGAGTCAGTCTCTATCACTCTTCGTCATCAGAAGATGACCATGATTCATAAGAAAGTCAAGTAAGTTCATAGTGATGGAAGCGGAAGGGGGGAACATGGTATCTATCAATTTGACGAGCGTGGCAAGTGCAAGGATGTAAAAACGACACCAAACTATCCTATCCTCATTCACCATGCTGGTGGATCTGAACAGGGCTCCTCATTGAAAGGAGATAATCCCAGAACAGGAGTTCTTGAAGGTGCTTATCACACAGACTCTTTCAGTGATTTTGTTGTGATTTTACACCAAATGGAAATAAAGTTGCAAGAGATGCAGCCAGTAGCAGATTAAGGCTCATTGGTGCCCTAAGCACTGACAAATCTTGGTGCCTCCTCCTTTGTATAGACTGTTCAAATCATTGTTTTTTTTCCTCTCTCAATTTTATGGTGCCCCCTTGGGCCTGGTGCCCTAAGTACATGCTTAGTCTGCTTAATGGTTAATACACCACTGGATGCAGAACTGTCTATTACTATGAATCTTCTGGAAAGTAGATTAGTAAACCATGCAGAGATATAGTGGGTAGCCTTCCTATGACAGTGTTTCTCAACGTTGGCCCCTTTAAGTCCTGTGGAGTTGAAGTCCACAGGACTTAAAGTCGCCAAGGTTGAAAAACACTGTCCTATGGGCATATATTTGAAGCTCCCCTGATGCTTGAAGGCACT